TGGAGTCTAGGTAGCACTGTGGTGGGGTGGTGATGATTTTGTCTGCAGGGAAAGAGTTGAGAACTACTGGCTTGTGGGGGAAGAAGCTCCCAATTGGATCTGAATCAATGGAGAGTCCACCCCCTCTTGCCATCAATTTCAATGAAATGAAGAGAGAGAGAAAGAGATGGAGACTAGGGAGGCAGAGAGAGAGAGATACAAGTCATAGTAAATGATGCAATTGGACTCGGCAATAAAAGAGGGGAGTTGAGCCTTCACAACAAGACCAAAAGTGTCCTTTATATTTCCTTTGAATAATCTTCTATCTACCATTTCATTTCCCTTTTTAATGCAGATACATACATAAATACTATACATTATGCAGTTTATTATGAATCCTCAATCATCAATCAATACTTTTTATATCTTCTTTTCATTTTATAAAATGGAAATGCCATTAATCACACTAACTTTAATTTGCTTGGTCTGAGTTCAGTTCTGACTGGTGCCCGGGTGCAGTTTGCACGTTCTTAATTTTTTAATTTAAAATTAAAATATAACAAAAGGACTCTAAGAGAAAAAATAAATACCGATTCTCATGAAACACTATCTCAGAAACTGACTACGAATTAGTCCGTGATGTTTGTCAAATACTCTTTGCGTGTGTTATTTATTTTTTGTTAACAAATAAGAGAATGCCGATGCAGCTGTTATTTAGTAGAAAATATTCCTGAAATATAGCACCATGTGAAAACAAATCTTAGATAATAAACCTCGTAATGCATCAAATAAACCAATACCCACCACAATTCATGAGTATATATAGCTATACATTACTTTGAGCTTTGTTAATAATTATGAAAAATAATAGCAGCATCACTGTTACTTTAAGAACCTTATATAAATATACAATACATTTTGTGGAGCTTTATTTCTAACATATTTATATTCACATAATTTTATAAACTTAAATTCGATTTACGCAGTAAATGTAAATGTAAATTTTATTTTTTTTTTGTTTTAATTTAACATATGAGACGGTTTCGTGCGCCGCTCAGAAAGCGCGTACTTGTGCGTCACTCAGAAGTATTTTCTAAATGGAACTTTTAGTAAGACCCCAAAACATTTATGAATTTGATAACATATAACTACATATTAATATATAAAAATACTGCGTTTAAAATATATAAAAATGCATATTATATAAAATTCAATATCTATAAATGAAATATTGAATATAATGGGTTAAATAAATGTTGCATGTAAAGTAAATAAAGCAGTTTAAAAAATAGGAGCTACCAAAAATGCATTGGCACTATTGGGCTGGGGCCTTAGTCTGATAAAAAAGTGCAAAGAGAGTCAACGAGTTTGACTGAGTTCACAGGTGGGATCCTCCCACGTCCATACTTTATTTCGGATCAAGAGGGACGAGTTGACCCAGTCGACCCTTGTGAAGTGGATCTCTTTCATGCTTTATTAGTTCATATTTGTTAAGTTGCTGTAATTCTTCTATTTAACTATTTACTTTTTACTATTTATACACACTCACACACACTTTTTCATGTTATCATTTTCTCCCTTCTTCCATCACACTGAAACTTTTTCAACACCCTAAAAAATTAAATTTCAAACAGCGAAAGATTTGCAACGTTTTTATAAAAGAAATTCTGAACATTATTAATTACTTATGTTTTATTTTATGATTTTTTTTATAAATAAATGGTCAAAATATTGTATTACAATCCTTGAAACATTCAAAACCTAGATGAGTCAAACGTGTTTAATTTGTATGATATAACCAAATTAAGTACTGTTGAAAAACAAGGAATAACTAAAATAGACTAACAAGGAAAATTTGTTATTATCTCATCGACATCCGTAGAAAGCTTCGAATTCATAGTCATAGGTTGTAACAACGATAACAAAATTATTGCCACACTAATTAACAAAGGTTTAATTAAGATTCAAAAATTAAGGATTAATGAAGATTTTAATTTTGTATTTTGATTAAATTGAATAACAAAGAATTTAAAAAGTTGTGTAGCTGGTGAAAATTCAATTAATAAATGCAGTTACGTATCAAAATTCTTTGATTTTCTAAACCTACCCTTCTAAATTCTTACTTGCTTAAACAATTTGCCCTCAATTTCTCTAAATTAGTTAAGAAAATTGACGTTAAAGATAATAATTTATCTCTATCCATGGGCTCGAGAGATGTATGGCTATTGAATTGGAACGATTTAAACATTATTCAGCATTTTAATTTGTGTATTACAAATGTTAACTATTTATTATATAAAATTAAAATTTATAATAAATTATATATAAATATATGTTTGTTATATTATATTTAAACTTTTGTATAAATAAATGTGATGATAATAATGATAGTAGTGACCATAATAATGGTTTGATAATAATAATCACAGTGATAATAATTGTGATTAGTTTTGTTGATAGATATCTCCTCTAATTTTTATCAACTAGTACTTTATTATTAATTTTTATATTAATAATAAATTTGGTCCATCTAACTATTAAATTATAATTTTACATTATCTTAAAAATATATGTCAAATTTTGTTAAATTTAAATAATAATAGGAAGGTAATAAAATTATTCATATTTTAATATATTTTAAAAATATATTTCATTATATATATATATGAATAAATAATTCTTAACAAAGTTATTTCACTTAATAATTCATGATATACAATAAATTTCAAGGATCCAAAGTTAAATTAAATATTCTTAGTGAGGATCAAGTTTACAAATTTTTGTAAAGTTAAAAAACTATTTGAAACCTTTTACATAAAATTAAATTAAGTTTTTTTATTTTTTTTAATATATATATATATATATATATTAATTCAAAAGCTACATTTAAGATAATTTCTAGTTGATTAAATTTTTTTACTAATTTACGATGCGGAAAAATTAAACTCTAAAAAATAAAAAGAAATATTGTTATGTGTGACCTTGCTAGAAATGTTAGAATTTAATCAACTAAATTTTATTTTATTTTTGGTTAAATTATACTTTTAGTTATTTATCTTATTTTTAAGATTTATTTTAATTTTTTATTTTTTAAAATGTTTATTTTAGTTTTTATTTCTTAAATTTGGATCGATTTGACCCTTTTCAAATAATGATTATTTTTTAATTTTGAAACATGATTTTAATTTTTTTTTACTAATTTAAGATTTGAAACTTGTCTTATTAAATTCATTTACATGCAAATAATTGAACGTAACTAAAATTCAAACAAAAAGTTTCATAAATATGGTGAGAATCGCTCAATTATAAGTCTAAAAAGCAATTGAAAATTTTAAAAACTCTAATTTTATGTTATTTTCTAATTGCTCACATGATATATTTTTCATGTGATTTTTGTTATGATTATATTTCCTTTAGATTTGAATACCAATTGAATTTTATAGTTTTCATGTAAGTGAATAAATGTGATTAGTTTCACATCTTGAATCAATAAAAAAAATTAATTCAAAATCGTGTCACAAATTAAATTGAAAATTATAATTTTCTTAAAAGTATAAATTGATCAAAATATAAAAGATAAAATATTAAAATGAACATTTTAACAAGTAAAAGATCAAAATGAATCTAAAAAATAAGATAAAGGACAAAATGTATAATTTAAGCTTTGTTTTTATTATTTTGGGATATTTGTCTTATTATTTAAAAGAGAAAAAAGTATTATTTTGTTACATTAAAACTAAAAAATAGTTTATTTTTTATACACTATCAAATTTTTTTTACATTGTCAATAAATTAAAAATACTTTAGATATATTTTGAACTTAATTAATTTTTATAGAACAACTTAATTAATTTTTTTAGTTATATAACAATTTGAGTAACAGTATATAAAAAAGCTTTAAAGTGTAAATCTATTCTAATTAAATTCTATAATAAATAATTATTCCACACTTATTAATATTAATTTTTATCAAACATTTTAAGAATATACAACCTTTATCAAGCTAGTGTATACACTAAAATGACTTAGTAAGTTTAAATAATATGTGGTTATTAGGTGTTCTTTGTTGTATGGCAATGTCAGTTAATTACAAAAAACACAACTATATATAGAAATTTCAAATTATACAATATTATAGTTCAGGTGATTAAGATCCGGTGCATTTTAACACACATATATATATATATATATATAATAATTTATTGTTTTTTAGAATAAGCTAAATTAAACATGCATTGCATCATGTACATTAGACCTCGTGTATTTTAAACTCTTGTGCGTACAAGAGAAAAATTGTCAAATGAACTTTTAACTATGAAGTAGCTGCTTGTCAACAGCTTTTTGTCACCAATGTTTACAATTATAATGCATGCATGACTTATGTGTTAACTAATTACTTCAATTTTTTCTTTTTGCTAAATAATAAATCATGATTAGAATTGAAGCAGTCAACAGTCAGCTTGCACAGATAAATTAGATGTTACTAGATCGACAAAGAAGGATCCAATTCAAGGAGAAGAAATTATTATATAATTTAATATTATCATGCGATCATGATCTTGACCAATTTACTTTTAACACATCTATTTTTTTTTCTTCAATTTATAATAAATTTAATTTTTATATATTAATTGAGATCATAACAGTTGAACATGATATAATGATTTATCCTATTGAACCATGCATCCATTGGCACCATGGTGCAAAAGCAAATGGAATTAATGTTGAAGACATGCAAAACCTAGTTTAGAAATAATTAAGATGCGTCTATACAGTTGGCAAACAAAAAAGGAGTTGGTGATCATGTTCGATGTGAATATGATTTTTGCATGGAAAGTTGTAGATTTTTAGAAGAAAAACGTGATTCATTTCACATCGAGTTCTTTTAACTTTCTAGTCAATAAAAGACCCCAGGGCCCCCTCACTTTTTGTTGCTTATGCCTTCTCCTTAAGAGTAATATTTTAATATATATATATACCACACAATCTTATATTAACTAACCAATACTCATCAATCTCCTTTCATCCTAGCAAATCTATTTTATCAATTACTTCAGATAAGTTAACTGATTCAAAGTCTAATAATTAATTGAATAAATGAACCTTTTTCTTTTTGTCCCCAATGAACTTCAAACTTTAATCTTTTGTTGAATATATGATAAACAAATTTAAATAAGGTACCATTCCTAATATTCTACATATATAGTTCACACCTTAGTAAACTAAATCACTATCCACTATTTTCCTGTACTTCCACAATCACTCATTAAC